ATAAACTTATTGAATAACTAATGAATAGTACCTGAGGTATTATAGGAAATTCAACAAAAAGCTAGTTTTAGAAATAATTTGTTGAGACTGATAGAGTAAAGAGTTTTATGATTTGCTAGCTATAATTTAACCTTTTGCTATTTTGGTGAGGCTACACGTGGATGCTCTAAGTTTTGGAAAATATAAACACCCCCAACAAATGGTCACAAATTTGAAAAGTTGAAGTCTCTTTATTGCCAATGTTAGTGAAAAGGAAGAGATAAAAGACTATATTCCAAATCTATATCGGAATTAGCAGTACGAAAATGTGATGCTAGGAGTTTGGATCATGTAGCATCCGCAAAAAATGGTGAATTGGTACAGAATGAAAAGTCTGAAGAGTGTTGCGTGATATAATCGTAAGATACAGTAAAAAATTTATTATTAGGGTTTTTTTACCCTTCTTCTGGTCTTCACCTACTTATAATAGAGGAGGGTAAGGAATTGTTTGGCTAAAGCTATATTAGCACACTTTTTATCTTTTTTTAGTCACATCACTTATCTACTTTTCTGTACATCTTTTTGTAAAAAGTCAAAAAGTATATTTATTTAGCACTTCCCAAACAACTATGAGTTCTCTATCTTTCTTGATTTTATTTAGCTTGTTAATGTTCCTTTGCTGAGTGGTCATTTGGAAAGTTGCAAAATAAGTAGTTTATTAGCTTATTTGTTATAAGTTTTCACATTATTTCTCTACTTTTCTATATATCTTTTAATAAAAAGTTAAAAAATCACTAAATAGATAAATCCTAAATAGTCATGAGAATGGAACATGTGGCCCACATATATGAAATTAGAAACACTCTTAGGTCATGTTTGTTTAGCCACGTGAGGGAGGGAATTGGACTAGGATGGTTGTTGGATCCATGATTTCATGTCTGGTTCACTTTTGGAATTCTTGGACTAGCACTCCAATGGTATTGGCAATCCGTCTCAATGACTGGAGTAGTATAGCTTTGAGGTCCCATTTGTTTGGCCGCATGAGCGGCCTGATTGGAGTAAGACAGTTGTGGGTTCACCCATAGCATGTTTGTTGATAATTTGAAAGAGCAGTGTGATAGTCTAAGCGATTTACTAATCCTCCTCAGTAGGGGGATTAGCTCGGCTACGAAAAGCGTGGGATTAGAAAAATAGTGAATGGATTGGGTCTACCCGATTGTCCATCCGAACGTTCGACCCATTGACCTAAACAGTGTTTTTTTTTTTCTTTTGTTTTTTTTACAAACATAGCCAGCTGGCCAAAAAAACATTCGGCTTTTTTTTTAACAATCCTAAGTGCACATTTTGTTTTAGTATAGAAATAATTTTATTTATTTATTTTATTTAAAAATAATTTAACAATCACATCATTAACCATCTCCTACACTACTATCAAAATACACTAATAATCTCTGTAGCCTATAATTTGTAAAAAAAAATTATATTTGTTTTAGAATTTTTTTTAATATAGAATTTTTTTTATTATTTTATATAAAAATAATTTAGCAATTCCATCACTAACCATTTCTCACACTATCATTAAAACAAACACATTTTTACTTAATTCTCTCACTAACAATTCCTACATTAATGATCTCTTCACTAATCATCTCATCAAATCTAATATGCTAAATAAACGTAACTGTAACCAAAAAAAAAAACAATGGTCACGAATTTGAAAAGTTGAAATCCCATGAAATTAGAAACACCTCTATTACGCATTAACTAATCTTATGATTTCTATCTTTCCTATCTCATGTTAATATAATAGGGAGGATATATATATATAAAGCAAAGTAGAGCGTAGAAAAATAATTTGAAAATAATGAAATAAAAATACAAGTGATTCATGTATTAGATTATGTAAATAAATTTTGTACCTTCAACAATTTGAAATTATTATTTTTACTCTAATTTGTTTGAAGTTGTTGGAATAAACACTTAAATAATTTGTATTTGTTTATATATACTAATATATAATGCAAGGTTTGGATTCTCTCAAGTTGTCTATCTCAATTTGAGAGAGCGTTTGGACTTAGTAGGCCCATTTTAAGATCGATTTTGGTAATCTACACCGTTTATTTTTTAGGACTCGTTGAGTGGAATATTTATACAAAAAATCAAAATAATCGGACATCAATAGCAATATGTTTGAATAAAATTTATATTACAAAGAATGAATAATTATTCATGAAATTATATTTGTCATTCATTTTTTAAAAACAAATATTATTCAAATATATAGCTATCAATACACAATCTTAATTTTTTGCATGAATATTTTACTCAACGAGTCTTACAAAATAAATTGTTCGGATCACCAAAAGCAATCTCAAAATGGACCTACTACATCTAAACGCTCTCCCAAATTGAGATCATAACTTGAAAGAAGCCAAGCCCAAAATGCAAATACCTTTGTTAGTGTAAATGTCACAAATTATTAATATCATTATTTTAAAAAAAATGTCCCCAAAACATAATAACTATTAGGGTAAATTACAAATACATCCTTGAGATTTGCTTAAAGTATAAATTGCCCATTGTGGTTTGAAAAATTACAAATACTCCCTTGGTAGAATTTTTTATTTAACAGAATTAACTAAAAAAATTTGTATCTTCAACAATTTGAAATTATTATTTTTACTCTAATTTGTTTGAAGTTGTTGGAATAAACACTCAAATAATTCGTATCTGTTTATTTATATTAATATATAATGCAAGGCTTGGATTCTCAAGTTATTCATCTCAATTTGAGAGGGCTTTTGGACTTAATAGACCCATTTTAAGATCGATTTTGGAGATCTGAACCGTTTATTTTTCAGGACTCGTTGAGTAGAATATTTATGCAAAAAATCAAAATAATCGGACATTGGTAGCTATATGTTTGAATCAAATTTATATTATAAAAAATGAATAGTTATTCATGAAATTATATTTGTCATTCATTTTTTAAAAACAAATATGATTCAAATATATAGGTATCGATATCTAATCTTAATTTTTTACATAAATATTTTACTCAATGAGTCTTACAAAACAAACTGTTCGTATCACCGAGAACAATCTCAAAATGGACCTACTAAATCTAAACACTTTCTCAAATTGAGATCATAACTTGAAAGAAGCCAAGTGCAAAATGCAAATACCTTTGTTAGTGTAAATGTCACAAATTATTAATATTATTATTTTTAAAAAAAATGTCCCCAAAACATAATAACTATTAGGGTAAATTACAAATACACATCTGAGATTTGCTTAAAGTACAAATTGCCTCTTATAGTTTGAAAAATTACATATACCCTCTTGGTAGCATTTTTTTATTTAACATAATTTACTAAAAAAATGAAATTCATAATTATTCTCCTATACAATAATAAAATTACCTAAATTATTAATTGAAACATATTTCTAACATCATTAAAAATAATTAATTGACTTGATAATTTATTAATAAAATGAACGATTTATTATGAAATTAGAAACCTCAGTGGTGTAATATAATTTTTAAAACTACAAAAGACGATTTATATTTTAATCAAACTTCGTAGGGTATATTTATAACTAATCCTAACTATTATAAATTGCTACAAATTTCTCAGACTGCTACCAATAATTGTCATAATTATTAGATTGAATTATAAATTGTACATGGGATAGGTGTATAAAATTAGATACAGATTCACCCCAATCCATTTTGTGAACATGAGACCATGTTGATGGGCTCATAGAGCTCATAACAGGTCTTATTTTGATAATCTGAACCGTTCAATATGTAAATCTCATCGAATACTTCATTCTGGTAAAAAAATCACGTTAATTGAATATCGATATTCCTAAATTATATCATATTTTTGTCAATGATAAATATGATTTTAAAATACATTTTTGACAAAAATATGTTCTAATCAAGTGCTTATCGATATCCAATTAATGTGATTTTTTACAAGGATGAAATATTCGACAAGTTCTATACATAAAACGTTAGAATTATTGCAAAGGAACCCATGGTGGGCCCATAGGCCCAATAGTATCGTCCAGTCCATCTGAAGAGAATCTATATCCTATAAAATTTAGGGTTGAAATTTCTCTCAAGTTTAAATTTCAACTTGAGAAAACTTGAGAGGCCTCTCACAAGTGTCGCTTTGATGATAGAATTGTTTATTTTATAGGACTCTTCGTATTTATTATCCATTTGAAAAAAAAAAAAGAAGCTCAATATGGTAACAAGAACATTTTTATTTTGAGGTGTTTGTCACGAAAAAAAAAAATAATAATAATCCATTTTAAAAATTAAAAAAAAAACTTGTCATTAATTTTTTTAAAGATAAACTCAATAAAATAAAAATATTGTAATAATCAAATTTATATTAATTTTTTCATAAAATAATATAAATCTAGAATCTTACGAAATTAAATATTCATATTATTAAAAGGGTAAATTACTTAACAATGAAGTAGAGAAAAAAAATTACAAACACACATAAATTCAAATGATTTTATAATAGGATGCAAGTGAAAAATTGTAAGAACGCCACTCTATATTTGTTTATTTACTTATTTATTTATAAGAACATTTTTATTTTGAGGTGTTTGTCACAAAAAAATAATAATAATAATAATCTATTTTAAAAATAAAAAAAAACTTGTCATTAATTTTTTTTAAAGATAAACTCAATAAAATAAAAATATTGTAATTATCAAATTTATATTAATTTTTTCATAAAATAATATAAATCGAGAATCTTACAAAATATTTATATTATTAAAAAGGGAAATTACTTAACAGTAAAGTAGAGAAAAAAAAATTATAAACACATCTAAATTCAAATGATTTTATAATGGGATGCGAGCGAAAAATTGTAAGAATATAATCTCACTTATGCCACTCTATATTTGTTTATTTATTTATATTTTTTCCTGTTACATTATTAAAACTGGATATTTGTATTTTTTTCCTGTTACATTATTAAAACAGGATATGTGAAATTTGAATTTTTGACAACAAATGCCACAAACAACAGTCTCCATCGAAGCCATTGTCCTCATCTTTCAGATCCACCCTCTATCACAGTATCCCGCAAAAACCCACCATCTTCTCAGAGATCTTCTGCACAACCAACGGCAGAGATCTGTGGCCGAAGAATCGCCGAGGGTCAATCAAAAAATTTCTGAAGATCGATCAACGCGGTGTTGAATTACTCTGAAACCCAAATCAATAGATCTTTCTATATTAAGTCCTTTTTTTGGGTGGTACAAGAAAGAAGCGATGAAGACATAACCACTCTTTATGGGCAATTGCTTTATTGGTGGTGTACAGAGGTAAATCATTGCTGCTTCTCAGAAACCCATTTCACTATTTTTGTCTCGTTTTGGTTAGGGTTTGATAAAATAAAAAATAAAAAAAGTGTATATTGAAGTTGGGTCTATGATGTGTTTTACAGATGCAGAGAATAGCAAAGTACTCATAAATGGGTTTTGGGTTTTGGAGAGAAACACAGAGACCAAGTTCATATTCAAACTTCGTACACGTCGCTCCAGAAAATTAAGAGAGAGAAAGAGAGATTGAGAGAGACAGAGAGAGAGAGGGGGGAGTCCTTTCTGTCCTTTCCTTGTAGTGAGAGAAAGTGAATTTTTAGAGAGAGAGAGAGGGAGGGGAAGGGTCGGTGGTGGTGCTTTTGAGCAGGGTTTTGTGAGCTTCTCATTGGAGGGAGTGGAAATTTGAGTGCTTTTGAAGGGAGGTCTGTGTGTGTGTGTGTGTGTGTTTGAGAAACTTTCTGAGTTTAATCTCTCTTTGATTATTATTATTACTTCTTTTTTCACTTTGTTGGATTCTGTTTGTAATTTGTGTTTGACTAGTGAGAGAGAGAGACTGTTTTGGTGAAAGTAATATAGTGAGGGACATATGATTGTGCTTTTTGTAGATTTTCTTAGCTTTTCATTGGATGAAGTAGATATTCAAACATTTTTTTGAATTTGAGGAGTGGGTTTTGTGAGAATTGAGACTTTTGGGTCTTTTTCACTGCTATTATTATTATTATTACTCTGTTTTATTTCAAAAGTTTTTTTACTTGCTGATCTTTGTCTGTAAATGCTTGTTTGTTGAGTGGGAAAGTTTCAATCTTTTCAATTTTAGTCTTTTTAAAATCTGCTTCTCTCTGTGATACCTTTTTGTCTTATAATGCAGTTCTTCACGAGGTAGTGTCAGATAAAAAAAATTCAAAAGGAAAAGAAACAGACTATCTCTCTCTCACTCTCTCTCTCTCTATTATTAAGGTTAGGACCTTTTGTTAATCTTTTTCACCACAACTCTGTTCTGTTCTCATCACTTCTCTGCTTGCAACATGTAAAGATTCGAAGTACTTGTCTGAGTATTCCCTCTCAATAAACAATATTTTTGGGTTTTCTCTTTTACCACTTGTAAATAATCACTCTCTATCTCTCTTGTAGGATTTGTTGTGCAATACTTTGTTTCTCTCTCTAGAGTTTAAAGTCCAGAGTTTTGGAGAGAGAGAGAAATGGGGAAAGCAACTAGGTGGTTGAGGGGCTTCTTGGGGATGAAGAAAGAGAAGGAAAATGTGGAGAATTCAAATTCCGGCGACCGGAAAGAGAAGAAAAGGTGGAACTTTGGCAAGTCCGGGAGAGATTCAGGGGTTGTGGGTAAGATTCCGGCAAATGTTCCGGCAACAAATGACACTGCTTGGCTGAGATCTTACTTTGCTGAAACAGAGAAGGAGCAGAACAAGCACGCAATTGTGGTGGCGGCAGCCACCGCTGCCGCCGCTGATGCTGCGGTGGCGGCAGCTCAGGCCGCCGTGGCGGTGGTGAGGCTCACTAGCCAAGGCAGAGGAGCTCTGTTTTGTGGTGGCAGAGAGAAGTGGGCTGCTGTCAGGATTCAGACTGTTTTCAGAGGCTATTTGGTAAGTGGGTCTTTATATTTTTTGTTCAATTTGTTGATATTTGAAACTTCAATTTGATCTCATAACATAAATTTTGATCTGGGTATTTGAATTTTCTATGTTTTCATGAACTATTTTACTTTGGTTCTCTGTTTGGGACAATGATTGTGTTTTCCTTTTCATTTCCTGTGAGGTTTCGAAATTTGAAAGCTTGTATTTTGAAATCTATTTTGTTTTTTGCTTTCCATGTTTTTGAATTTTGTTTGTTTCTGTGTGTGATTTGTAGCTCTGATTTCCAATTATTGTTTCGTTCCAAAGTTGGGTCCACATTTTGGCTCTTTCACTTGTTTGAATTTGAAAGAGGGAACTATTAAAAGTTTAACCTTTTTCTGTGTTTCTTTGTGTGTTTTTTCCAATTTTCGTGAATATGTGCCATCCATTTGTTTTTTGTTTTTGGTTTAGTAGTTTTCTATCAAAAGCACTTCTTGAGCCTGCCCATGACCTGGGGTCGATCCCCAGTTCCCCTTCCACTTCTCTCATGGCCTGGCGGTCGATCCCCAGTTCCCCAGGCTAAAAAAAAGGGAAAAAACTTTGTAGTTTTGAATTTAAAACATTTCTTGAGTCCGCTCTTGACATTGGATCAATCCCTAGTTCCCCCTTCCAACTCCCCGGATAAAAGAAAATGTAGTCTTGGATCAAAACAGCTTTTGAGCCTGCTCTTGACCCGGGTTGGTTCTTTGTTCACTAGATGACAGAAAGAAAATTTTGGATTCTTGTGTTGAATCTAATTTGGTTCACCTTCAGGCAAGGAAAGCACATCGAGCTCTAAAAGGACTGGTGAAGTTACAAGCTCTTGTTAGGGGCTACCTTGTTCGAAAACGAGCAACTGCGACTCTTCATTGTATGCAAGCTCTCATACGAGCTCAGGCCACTGTTCGATCCCAGAGAGCTCGTCGTCTGCTCAAAAAAGACAACAAATATCAACCAGAAATTCGTGCCCGAAGGTCCATGGTGAGAAGTGAATTGCATTGCTCATACTTTTCTTTATGGAATTTTTTTTCAATTCTCATTTTTTCTGTTTCTTGTTTTCAGGGAAGAATTGATGAAACATGGAGTGAATTCCATAGCAAGAGACTTTCAGCATCTACAGAAAATTCGCTAAGCGCGTTCGACGAAAGCCCCAAAATAGTTGAAATCGACACTTACAGGCCTAGATCAAGATCATCACGTCGAATGAACACATTAATGTCAGACTCTTGTGAAGACCCATATTACCAAACAGTTTCATCACCCCTTCCCTGTCCAATTCCCGCTCGTCTTTCCATCCCCGAGTGCAGAAACCTTCCAGAATTCGATTGGGGCTTCAACGGCGATGATTACAGGTTCTCAACTGCTCAGAGCACGCCTCGTTTGGCAAATTCGTACAGATCAAATGCTCCAGTCACGCCAGCGAAAAGCGTGTGCGGAGACAGCTTTTTCAGGCCAGATTCCAACTTCCCGAACTACATGACGAACACGCAATCGTTCAATGCGAAACTGAGGTCTCATAGTGCTCCGAAGCAGAGGCCTGAACCGGGTTCTAAGAAGAGGCTTTCGCTGAATGAAATAATGGCGTCGAGGATGAGTTTGAGCGGTGTGAAGATGCAGAGGTCTTGTTCTCAGGTTCAAGAAGCTTTAAATTATTGAGAAAAAAGTGTTTGATCGATAGATTATGAACATGGAGAAGAATAAGAGAAACTAACATATAAACCTTCTCCGAGCTTTTGTTTTTGCCACTTAGGGATGACAAACAGTAGGATAGAACAGAGTGCTTTGTGTATATTCTTAAATCTTTGTTATTTTATTTTATGAATGGAAACTAGAGGGTTTCATCTTTTGTTCTTTGTTGCTTAGAAAGTGTTTTTGATTTTATAGGTATGATTAAAAACAGTTGTGTTTTGAATCAATTTATATATTTTTTGCCTTGTTTCTAGGCCATGTTGAGACAAGGTAAATAGCATATTAACAAGAGATTAGCGGAGCAGAGCAACGAGTCTGCTTCGTTTTGGTTTTAGAATTCACTTTCCAATTTTTTTTTTCCATATTTTTTTTTATTTTCACTGAAGTTTTTTTAATATTTTAAGCATTTTTAAAATTTTTAGACACACCTAATATAAATATATTTTAAAAAGTCTAATTTTTGTAAAATACCAAAAATATAAAAAAAATACAAAAATTCAGTATGTTTTTAATATTTTTGTATATTTATTAGTTTTTGAAAATATTTTACTTTTTGGACACATCTGAATAAGGTGCATCTAAAAAAATAAAAAAAATTATTTAAAATTTTTAAAATATTTATTAAAAACAAAAAAACACAAAAAAATAAAAAACTTCAATTTTCAAAAAAATTAAATTCAAAAATTGAAAAATGATAATTGGGGTGCTACCATGAAATTTCCATGGTGGTTCCTAGTGAGTTGGGTTTCTCTGTATTTAAAACAGGACACTTTTTCTCAAGCCATACTTCTTATTTTTTATGTTGTGGTATGTCCCATGACATCAAGTGTGAGGCCCATCATAGTGGGGAATAATTATTTTATTTTATTTTTTTATGTCACAAAGATAGATGTCAGTAAATTAGATTACTTTAATACGGGACATATGTTAATCTATTGATTCAAACATAAGATTTTACTTTAATGTGATACTAATTTGTTGACTCGAATATGAGACTTTAGTTGTAATTAACTTATTTTACCTTATTGCACTTAAAGGTCCCCCATAACTCTTGAGATAACAACTTGGATTGATTGAATAAGATGTGATTTATTTCATAGGATTTAATTTTAGCTGCCTATATTAAGAGGCTTAAATGCTACTTTTTTAAAATTTATTTGGTAAATATATTTTTTAATAAATAAATCACTTTAATCATTTCACAAAACCAAAATATGTTGTTTGGTTTAACTCATTTCTAGAAAATAAAGTTTTTTTCTTTATTTTTTTATTTTTAGTGAATTTTTTAAAAATATTTTGTGTATTTTTTTTTATTTTTTAGATACACTTAATCTAAATACATTTAAGCATAAATATTTTTTTTAAAAATTTATCAAATACAAATAACACCAAAAAAAAATGAAAATTCATTAAATTTTTGTATTTTGTTATATTCAATGATTTTTTAAAAGATTTTTTATATAAATTTTATACTATTTAAGTATATCAAGATTAAGTGAATCTAAAAGATAAAATAAAATGATTAAAATATTATTAAAAATACAAAAATACAAATTAAAATTTTAAAAAATTTCAAACCAAACAAAGTTAACTATTAATTTCTTATTTAAATGAGACTAATAGGTTCATAAGAAATTTCATTAATATGGGATTTATGTTTAAATTTTCCTGAACTTATTTCTAATTAATAAATTAAAATTTTTAACTAATTATGTTTAAATGTTTAAATATTCAACTTTATTCCAAATACACTCCCTTCTTTATTTTTATTATTCATAGAAACAAATATATTTGGAATAAAGGGGAGTGAGAATAGTAACTATGTATAATAATGAAAAACAATGGAGTATATTTGGAGTAAGAATAACGACTCCCTTAAATAATACATAAAATTTGTTATCTATTTAGTCTTCACATTATCAAAAAAGAAGTCATATCTAGTCAACTTTAATATATAAATAAAAGAGAAATTATAAATTAGTTGATTCTTTGTATATGCTAACTCAATTATCTATTAAAGTAAAAGTTTTTTTTTTTTCTTTTCAAATTTCAAAAGTTTTATTAGGTCTCATGTGAATCTCATTAATATGATATCAGCATTATAAGTATGCTTCATGTGATGATAAACAAATTGTGATAAAAAAAATATAATTAATGTATTATTACTGTTAAATTCTGCTTTCATTAAAAAAATTTTTTTTAAAAAAGATAATAATTATCTTTTAGTAATATTTTCAAAAAAATGTTATAAATTTATGAAATTTTTTTATAATTTTAATTATTAAAATTTACTAGTAATTTATAATATTTTTTTTGGGGTATTGCTAATGACAATTCCAAGAATTGTTTATTACAAGTATAAAATAATAAATTATTTATAATCTGAATACATTTTTTACACACCTTTTTTAACATTAATTAATAATGGCCTTTAAAATTATTTTTAGCATTTTTTTTTTATTTAGCCCACGTTTGGCAGTCAACTTTTTGACTGAAAAAGGTGAAGCCACAAAACGTTTAAAAAAATCAAAATTTCACATTATATTCACCAATTAGTCATTTTTTCCCTTACAACTATCTATTTAATTAAAAAATTATTCCAAATATAAATAAATTATATTTTGTTCCTTTTATGTTTGATCACTTTCCTACGGCTTTTAATTTTTTTATTTTCTTTTTCACTTTGGTGTTTTATGTTTCAAATTTTTTTCAGTTTACTTCTAACAATGGTAGTACACACACCAATCACTATATTAATTAGTGTACCAACACATGTTATAATATTACAACTTCAAACTATGGACCCCACTCATTATACAAATACAAAGATTCAAACCTAATAAAACTATGTTACATCATCTGTTACTACATTAATTGGTGTATCAATTGGTGCATATAGCTTTATTCTACTCTTATAGACAATTTCTATTCAAAATTAGACAAAAAATGTCATAATAACTATCACATAATATAAAAAATATATTATTATATAGGTAAACTACCAATATGTCATAATAGTTGAACTTAATTCCCCTCAAGTCCTATTGAAAATAAGTTATAGTAAAATTATCGCTAAAATAATTTTTTATAATATTTTTTGCATATGTCGTAAAAATTGACAATTAGTGATTTTTTTTTTTTGGTCATACTTTTTATAAATTGTCGCTAAAACTTACAAATAGTGACTTTTTGTGGCAATTTTTTTAAAATATCGCTAAATTTTATAATTACTGATATTTTTTGTGACAATTTTTAAACTGTCGCTGAAGATTAAGAATTAGTGATATTTTCTTAATAGTATTTGATGAAAAATGTCATTAATTATCACATGACATATTAAACAATAAGTCTACCGATTAGGACCTATACGTAAATCTCATTTATAATATTAGAATTCAAGTTTATGTTTGATATGTGAGTTATATATAATAAAAAGGTTTGACTCCTCTTAAATTGGAATCTTAACTTGAGAGAGCATTTATCCATGTGATTGTTAAGTGTCATTTTATTTCTAATTTTTAAAAGAAATTGACTTTAGACGTAAATAAGGAAAAATTTGAAACATAAAGGGTCAAAGTGAAAAAAACAAATTTTAATAACCAAAGTGAGAAAGTAACCTAACATAAAGGAGCAAAGTGTAATTTATCCTTCCAAAACCACTAAAGCCCCATTTGAGATGAGTGTTTGGGGAGCTTCCATTTGCACACCACTTATTCTCTCAATTCACACCATTATCCCAATTTTTTTTTTAATTACCATTATATCCTTTAATTAAATTACCTACACACCACTCCTTCTTTCTCAACTCACGACCGCCGGCTGCCACCTCCTCCCAACCCCACTAGCACCGGTTGCCATCCCTCACCTCCAATAGCACCATTCCCACCACCGCCAGTTGCCATCTACCCCACTTCCCCTACCGGTTGCCATCTACGTCTACCCCACTTCCACCGCCTCCCCCGTTGCCCCCTATCTTTGGTACCATTTTCCCTCTGCAACGACTCTCAAGCGCCCCTTTTGGCAAACCCCTCTCATCGCGACCTCTTCTTCTTTTCTTCGCTTGCTCACTCTCTCTCTCTCCCTCTCTCCCTCTCTCTCTCTATTTGATTGATCATTCATCGATCTTAGTCAATCGCAAGGGTTAGGGGTGGCGATCACTAAGGCTGCGGTAATGGCGAGGTGTGGTTGTGGAGGTGTCAGAGTGGGGCGGAGTTGAGGCAATGAAGGGTTGAAGGAGTCTGGGGGAGGGACGGTGACAGTCGGGATGGGTTATAGAGGGTGGATGGGGACAACGATGGGTCGCCGGATCTGGTGGTGGCTGGGTTTAGGGTAGGTAGGGTTAGGGTATTTTGGGAATAAAGGGTGTGAATTGAGAAAATAATAAAAAATGAAGATGGTGTGGAGGTATGAACTAGAAATGGTGTGTATTGAGGCAAACTATGGTGTGTAAATAGAAGCTCTTGAGTGTTTGGGCTAAAATAGCCATATAGGACAAAATATGCTATTTTAGCTAAATAGAACAAAATATCACATTCAACCCATAAAACTATGTCACATCATCTGTTACTACACTAATTGGTGTATCAATTGGTGCATATAGCTTTATTCCACTCATAAAGACAATTTCTGTTCAAAATTAGACAAAAAATGTCATAATAATTATCACATAATATAAAAAATATATTATTATATGGGTAAACTACCAATATGTCATAATAGTTGAACTTAATTCCCTTCAAGTCCTATTGAAAATAAGTTATAGTAAAATTATCGCTAAAATAATTTTTTATAACATTTTTTGCATATGTCGTTAAAAATTGACAATTAGTATTTTTTTTTTGTCCTACTTTTTATAAATTGTCGCTAAAATTTACAAATAGTGACTTTTTTGTGACAATTTTTTTAAAATGTCGCTAAATTTTATAATTATTGATATTTTTTGTGACAATTTTTAAACTGTTGCTGAAAATTAAGAATTAGTGATATTTTCTTAATAATATTTGATGAAAAATGCCATTAATTATCGCATGACCTATTAAACAATAAGTTTACCGATTAGGACCTACACTTAAATCTCATTTATGATATTAGAATTCAAGTTTATGTTTGATATGTGAGTTATATATAATAAAAAGGTTTGACTCCTCTTAAATTGGAATCTTAACTTGAGACAGCGTTTATCCACGTGATTGTTAAGTGTCATTTTATTTCTAATTTTTAAAAGAAATTGCCTTTAGGCGTAAATAGGGAAAATTTTGAAACATAAAGGGTCAAAGTGAAAAAAAACAAACTTTAAGAACCAAAGTGAGAAAGTAACCAAAAATAAAGGAGCAAAGTGTAGTTTATCCTTCCAAAACCACTAAGGCCCCGTTTGGGATGAGTGTTTAGGCTAAAATAGCCATATAGGACAAAATATGATATTTTAACCAAATAGAACTAAATGTCACATCCAACCCATAATTATTTCATTTTTTTTCTCACAAAAGTCAAAAAAAATCAAAAATTCTATCCCAAATGAGACTTTTTAACCCTCGGCTAAAACAACCAAAAAGCCAACTCATATCCCAAATGAACCCTAAGGCCCCGTTTGTTTTGGGAGATAGAGGTGGAACCCACTATATGTTATGTTTGTTTTGGGAGATGGAGAGAAGATTCATAATCCCATGGGATTAGGATGAGACTTGGTGTTGGGATTGAGATGGAGGAGGTGGAGATGGTATAGGAAATTAGACCCATGGGATTAAGTTTTTTTATTTTTTATTTTTTATTTACATGTTGGGTATTTTGTTTTAACATTAATGTTTAATGTTTTTGTATTTTTTGTTAAGTAAAAAATCATAATTTTATTTGTTTTAATATTTTATATTTCTTTTATAGGATAATAATTTAACAATCTCTACATTAACAACTATCATAGGGATGGCAACGGACTGGAACGGGGACGGGGACGGGGACGGGGACGGGGCCGGGGATCACACTCTCCGTCTCTGATCCCCGATGGTAAAAATTTTCCCGTCCCCGGCCCCGATGGAGAACCTATCACCGTTCCTGCCTCTGCTCCCTAGCGGGGATCGGGTTTCTCCGATCCTGAAAATTCCCCGGCATCATCAACATCATCATCAACTAAACAGATTCAAACAACACAGATCTAGAATCACCATCATCCACTAAACAGATTCAAACAACACAGATCTAGAAAAATGAGATTGGCGATGGAGATACTTGAGATCGACGATGGAGAAAATAAGATCCAAGGTTTTTGTCCTGAGTCGATGTCGCCATCTGTAGATCAGAGTTTGGACAGGCGGTGGTGGTGGTGTCGATGATTAGTGTACGATCAACTGCTAAAGAGGAGAGATGAGAGAGCAAACGAGGTGTGTGTGTGTGTGTGTGAAAGAGAGAGAGAGAGAGAGAGAAAGAGAGAGTGGTGGTGGTGTCGCCGTGTCAGTGACTGCGAGAGTGAGAGAGTTGAGAGAGAGAGAGAGAGAGAGAGTTGAGAGAGTCAGGGAGTGAGAGAGTTGAAAGAGAGAAAAAAAAGAGAGTGAGAGAGTTGAGAAAGTCAGTGAGTGTTGAGAAAGTGAGTCAATGAGAGAGTTGAGAGAGTCAGAGAGTGAGATATATATATATATATATATAATACAACTAAACACACAGTATATAGGCAGGGCTTTTCGAGGAAATTTCGGGGAGGGGCAGGGGCCGGAGGAACCTATCATCGTCCTCTGCTAAAAAATCATCAAGAATGTATTTTTCAATACCATCCCCGGCCCTATGGGAAATAATTTTTGGGAAAAACCCTATTTATCGAGATGAGGTGGTCCGGGTCCCCGTCGAGCCAGGTTCATATTGCCATCCCTAAACTACCATTAAAACAAACACAATTTTACTTAATCCCCTCACTAACAATCTCCTCACTATTAATTCCCTCACTATCAATCCCGTCTATTCTATCTCTGAAAACAAACGAGCCTAAAGGATTTGGTTTACTTTTTGAATTCAATTTTCAAAACCTCTAGTTTTTAAAACAAAAATGTTTTATAGGTCGAAAAATTTCCCCTCAAATGGCCCGAATTGCTGAAACAACGTCGTTTTGATTTTGAATTTTTTCCCCCCTCAGAGTCGACTCCATTCGAGCCCTTAATCTCTTCCAAATCCTCTCATCTCTCTCTACTCACTCTCTCCTCGAGCTCTTAATCTCTTTCAAATCCTCTCATCAGCTACGGGTGTGGACTCGCATAACAGATCTTCAGCTACGGGTGTGGATTCGCATACGGCAGTGTCGACTAGCAGAAAAAAATGTACCACAACCAAAGGTAAACCCATAATTGCAAAAAAACTAGGGTTTGTGTTTCTGTGTTTGGATTTTTCTTGCAATTTGTGTTAGGGTTTTGGTTTTGGCTTGAATTTGTAGAACATGTTTTCCGGCCTTATCAATTAATGATTGTTAGGGTTATGATTGTCTGTTAGGGTTTGGGCATTATGGGTTTTTCCTTCAATTTTTTATTGTTATGTTGATTTTGATTGTCCATTATGTTGATTGTTTGGGCATTATGGGATATGTGTTGATTGAGTCAGACATGAGTTAATAGGATTGATGAGGTTTTGATGTCTCAATTTGAGTTTTGGACATACCAGTTAAGGTGTCATATTAGAGCTTGGAATTTTGGAAATCTAGAAAGTTCATGATTCATTTTGTTTTTGATTTACTCACTTTAGTTTGGAATTTCAGTGTTTTGTATGAAAAGAAAATCTGAGGTATTTTAATCTCCAAAAAAATTGTTGTCATCAGGATTCAGTGTATAGAGTTTAAATTTATATCCTCTTAAATATGCTAGATAAAACTAGATGTTGCAAACCGTTTAAGCAACCAACTTTTATAAGATGTTAATATCTACTATAGAAGATTAATTGTGCAGTTTCTTTTTATTTTTATGTATTTTTTTAATTTATTGACATGTGTTACAATATCTGCGCATGTATGTAGGAATAAACATAAGGAAATAGCTAGTGCCAAAGCTAGTTTGGATTTTGAACTCAAATTGTTGGAATACTTCAAGAAATTCATTGAAATCTTTTTATCCACGAATGAAAATTTTGTTGTTTTTGAGAAGCAAAAAGAAAATTTGTTCATTTTACCATATACTTTGGAAATGATTGGAGTCTTCAAGTGCTTAAAAATGTGGATTCCTTTCTTAAAATTCCTGGCTTTTCTTAATGTGATGGAAGTTTATTGAGCCAATGGGAATTAAATCAGTTCCCTTAGGTTTCAAATTTTAGCCATAAAAGTGAATGAATAGGCCTGTGAATACATTAAATATGCTTCTGATTTCAAATATCAAATTATGTTTGTATAAAAGAGCCTGGTTTATACTTTATGGTTGTTTTAAATTTCCATGTTGCTGAAGATGTGCATTTTGATTTAAAAAATTCCCTATTTCTTGGAACCTACCTATGAAAGAACACAAGATTTCTTCTTGTTTACTTTTGCTTATGAAGCTGGCTGCATATTTACCAATTAAAAAAGTACGGGTTTTAATAACATCAATAAAACAGTAGGTATGCATGTATCAACAGTAGCAATAATAGCTATGTATGTATCATGTCTCTGTTTTCCATTTTGTATGTAGATTACAAAATGGCTTCTTCCTCTAGTAACAATAGCAACATAAGATTGAAACCAAGATTGTGTGATTGTGGGAGAACAACTGCCATGCACATTGTTCGAACCAATCAAAATGGAAATAAAGGGCTTGTGTACTTTGTGTGTCCATCGAAATATGTAAGCAGTATGGAAATTTGTTTGCAAATTTATTAGCCTGATTTGATTAACTGATTGTCATGCATTGTAGATTAATAAGGAACACTGCAATTACTTCAAGTTTGCAAATGATGATGATGACGACGTGATTTCCAATGCTGCACCTCGTAAATTTATAAAAAGCCAAGAATTTAACGATCTAAGCACAAGGGCTTATGAGATGGATAATGAATTTCAGGAGCATGATAGAAGGCTTCAAAGGATGGAGAAGAAATTGAATGTCGTGCTTTATGTCATTGTATTTTGTATTGTTTTCTATTTTATAATGTAAATTACTGAGTTGATAGCTTTTGGAGAATTTGATGGATGTACTTATGGATTAAATGGACTTGAATGGCCTTGATGACTTGAATGGACTTCTGTTTTCAATTATTGTTAATAGGTTATTGTAGACCGCTCGAACTCCGCTCCGCGCACGAGGGTGCAAATCGTTGTTCTTAGCTACTACAGTTCGAACTCATGTCACGGTTCTGAATCTAATCTCACAAAGTGCAATGTAAGATTGATAAATCACCAAAGAGTCCAAATCCGGCAAATTGTTTTAAAAAATTGATTTTAATTAAAAAGCGCCAAACATAGACTGCTTTTCCAGATTTCAGAGTCGCCATCTAAATATTTTGTTTTGGAAAATTTAGGAAACCCTAACTTGTGCCTAAGGCTACGTGTCCGTCATCACCAAAGTTGCCTCGACTCGGGAACTTGGGTATGAGGGGGGAAGGTCTTAAAATGAGCACCCCTGCCCGCCCGATCAAAGGATTGGCCTCTACTAACATGATATGTTGTTTTTGAAAGCATATGTGTTCTTATTCCGGTTTATTAATGTAGTTTACTATGTGATGCACACAGCATATAAGTATAGACTAAATCGCTCAAGTTGAAACAAAACATCTCGAGCTTGTTTGGTTTGTTTTTGGGAGAGTTGTTTTTGAAAAAAAAATTGAGAGAGTTGTTTTAGAAATTTTTTTGGTTTGTTTGGTTGTATATTTTGAAAGTAGTTTTGGAGTTTGGGAGTTTGGGATGATTTGATATTTTGTTGTAATTGAGTAGATGTGTATGAGAGAAAAAGTGATTGAGAAGGAGAGAAGAGAGAAAAAAAGTGATTGATTATGTGTAAGAGAGAGAGTCATTTTGAAGATTTTTTGAGAAAAATCTCAAACCAAACAATTTTTTGGAATTTTTTTTCTAAAACTCATCTCTAAAACTCAAACCAAACATACCCCTCATGTTTGTTTGTTTGAAAAAAAGGTTTGAAGTTGCTACCCTCAAGTAGGCTAAGTCGCGAATTTGTCACCCTCAAGTGGGCTTAAAACAGCATGATTTTGCCACTTCAAGTGGGCTTAAAACTCACATTTTGATGAATTGTTCCAATTCAAGCAATGAAGCCGTCATCTACAGCCATTCGTGCATTTATAGCAGTTAAGCACATAGCCTCATGGCAAGCATGCTAAACATGGCAACATATACACTCATGCAAGGATGTTAAAGCGTAAACACTCACAGTGTACTCCGAGCCAAAAAAGAAGCTAGTTAGTAATCAATGCATGATCCTAGCTATTCTAATGCAACACATGCAAAATGCAACTAAGATAGGCTCGGCTATTCTAAGATGTCATGTGAATGCAACTAGATAACATGTATTCAAATTAGTATTGAAATACAATGCAGTTTGTATGATGCGCTGAGCCCGGTGCATGCAAGACAGATGAATGGATGTACGCATGCATGCATAAGGATGCTAATTGAAATATGCCCTAAAACTAACCATCGAAAGTTGGTAAATAAAAGGGAGAAAGAAATAGGGTTGGAAGACATGCATCACACACACGCATGCTTATTACAACAATGTGGCCTCTCGACGGATGGTCTGAATAATAAGCTAATTAGCTAATCTAAGCTAATTAAACTAATTATTACAAAACGAAACTAATTAACTAATCCTAGTTAACTAATTAGTTATTACAACACAAATTGAATAGTTAAGCGCATTAATTAATTAAATACAAAACCAAAGCATTAGCTAGCTAAGCAAAACAGCTAATTAAAGCAGTAAAAAAGAGGTCCTCGGGGCAACGGGTGCATGCATGCTCAGTCGCCTCGTTTGGAAATCCATCACTATACCCCAACTTGCCTCTGTTTGCAATTATTCTCAAGACACTACACAAATCTCCAGATAGCTTCTACTCCATCATGGAGAACTCCAGGAAGGCTGCCGACCACTTATTGGTGTTGTAGACCACCTAAGTATGCTGCAGACCAAAAAAAGTGGTCGGCCAACTACTTTTTCTGGTTTGCCAACCAGAAATTCTGCCCAAGCTCCATTTTGCTGCAACAGAGAACAAAAAGGGGCACGGCAGTGTATTTGCAAGGTATGGGTGCACAACCACCCTCCTTATCATTTCTTAAGCTCAAGGGAGTGTGGTTCTCGACCCTCGGACCACCAACCGAGCATCGCAATGCACGACGGCCGAGAAGCCAAGTTTGTACAATTCAATTTCAATGAATGCACAAATAACACATAAGGGCCTTAACGTCTATCATGCTTGATCAAGAAGGTCGGCGACCGAGAAATGAGGCACGTTTCATCACTTCAAGTATGAAACGTCCCTCGTTTCTCGTGTTTGGATTAACACCCTATCCAAACACAATGAAACACACATAATGCAATGTATGGCATGTTTAAAAGCTAATGCATCAAAGCTAGTAAAACATGTTACACACGAGGCATGCAATACGATGCTCAATGGACTTAAATCGAATATGGATAGACCTATGAGGCTCCATAAAAGTGGCCAAAATGCTATGAAATGATGGCATGAAAGGCAAGATGGTGATGCTCATGCAATGGTCTATCAACTAAGCATAAGAGCATAACCCTCAAACATGATCAAGAAGTGATAAACATGGAAGTGTGACAACATTATATGCACTGAAATCATGTATGAAATGATGCCAAATCACTCAAACAACACAAGTATAGCATGCAAGAGGCTCAAAGCTTGAAACTAGCATAGGCACTTACACTATAGCTATGCAATACATGAACCATATGGCCAAGACAACCCAAAACAGTCCTAGAGCATGTCAAAACAACGCTAAAACATGTATGGAGTATAGCCAAAACAAGCTAGCATGAAGGCATGAAACATGGAGTATGCAAGGTCAATAAGGAGGATTACATTACACCTACCAAAACCAAGCATAAGATGACTTTACCAACAAAAATTAGAGTTATATCATGGCAAAATAAGACTAAAAATACACTGATATGGCAGCCCAAAAGCTTAGGTAAGATAGCATACATATTGGCTTATATTTAAGGCATAAAACACCAACCCTCCAAAGCATTGAAGGAGTGAAAGATATGAGGGCATGACAATGAAACATGCTCCAAAATCATGTATCAAATGATGCTAAATCATGCAAATAGCCCAAGCAATGCATGCTAGTGGCTTGAAAACTCAAAGCTAATGAGCAAGAATGCACTATGGCTATACAAAGCAAGGCATGCATGACCAAAACAACATAAAACAGAGCTTAAGCATGGCAAAACATGAGTAAAAACTTCTTGGAGTAGAGCCAAAAGCATGCTAGAATAATGGTCCAAAGCATGATGCATGTTAGGCTAGCAAGAAGGATTGCACTACAAGTGCAAGGAGCATGCAAGAGGTAATCAAACCAACCATAAACAGAGGTATATCATGCTGAAATAAGGCCTGAGACATGCTAAGATGGAGCCAAAACATGCTTAACAAACATGCTACTTTGATGAGCTACAAAGAGGATTACACTACACATACAAGAAGCATGCAAGGGGTGACCAAGACAACCAAAAATAGAGTCATGGCAGGTCTAAAAGGTCATAAAAAAGTGTTCAAACAAAGCTTCAAGAAGATAGAACTACATGCTCTTGCGATGAGCCATCAACACAAGCATACAAAAGAAGAGGAGGGGGGACAACCCCCACCCATTTGGGGCCTCAAAACCAAGTTTTCACCACTGAAATTCCTCTGGTAGAAAGGCCAAATAAAGGCTAAAACAAAATCCTAAAGTGATGGCTCAAAACCCTAGCAAATAGGGCATGCAAGGGAGTAGATCACCCCCAACACCAAGGAAGCCTCAAACAAACATCTTAAACACTTAAAATCAGAGTTTTTTGCAGTTTAAAGTTAAGCCTAAATCAACATTCAAATAGGGCCAAAGATTTAAACAAAAACAAAGCTTTAAGGGGTTAAAAACTCACCCTTGTAGAATAACTTCAAGAAAGTAACTCCAGCAACCTTTTTGAATCAAAAGCAATCCAAAAACACCAAAACCAGCTTCATGGTGCCTCAGCAACAAGAGTGTGGTGTTTCACTAGGTGTTTGTGTGCAAAAGTGTGAAAAATAGGCACTTTCAAGCACAAATATGAAGATTAGGAGCAATATAGAGATAGATGATATATGTATAGCTCCAATACAAAATTCTGAACCTAAGGCAAGAGGGAAGAGGCTCCCTTATATAGAAAATCATGCATCAAGCTTGTTGAACAAGCTTTAGGCTCCAAGCAATCCCTCTATACACGTGTATAGAGGATGCCTTCTATGTCCAACAGCTGGCACAGCTGGCAAGAAAATATCTGCAGAAAACTGCAGGAAAGTTGTCGACCAGTTGAAGTGGTCGACCAGCTACTTGCACTGGTCAGCCGACCAGTGAATGTTGTCTGCAAGAATGAAAAGTGGTCAGCAGGGGGGAGAGGTGGTCTGCACAAGGAAAGCAAGGTGGTGGCATGGCTGTCGACCACTTTTGGTGGTCCAAAGACCACCAACACCAGTTGGCCGACCAAAAAACTGGCTGGTAGGCAGGAAAAGTGGTTTTCAGGGAGAGAAACTGGTCTACAACTCCTATTCCACCCTCCAAGCAAGGAAACAAGGTTTGTGCTAAAAAAAACCAAAAAGTATGCAAGACAAGAGTTCGCGGGTCAAGGCACGCAGCCAAAAACCTCAAAAACTAGTCTACGGGCACCAAAAGTGGTCTATGGCCACAAAAAGTAGCCTACAAACCTCTGTTTCCCTCTAGGTAGAAGCAACAAGGCATGGTCCAAAAACTAGGCCAAGAGGAGAACGCTAAGAGGTCCTGAGACAAGGCGCTCGGCCGAAGGCTCCGGAAACCAGAAATCAGAAACCGAAAACTAGCCTACAAGAGGGAAAAGTAGTCTACGACTACGAAAAGTGGTCTACGGACCTCTCTCTCTCTCCAGGCAAGGTCAACAAGGCTTGGTCCACAAACCGAGCCAAAACACAAAGAGTTCAGAGGCCCGGAGGCAAGACACTCGGCCGAAAACTCCGGAAACTCGAAACGAGCACAAACATGCGTGATCATTGAGCGCTCAAACGATGACGTCTGAGTCTTAAGGTCAGTCAAAAATAGGGTGTCTACAGTTATGTCATTTGTTGATCTTTAGTGCTGGAAATACTTTTTCACTATAAACCTGTAATGGCCTTTCTGGTCTGATGTTAGGGCTGCATTCTCACATGGGAATTTACAGGTGGACCAGTAGTTTGACATACCTTGCTTTTACATCTGTATTCTAAGAATTGAATATGTCCTTGGTTACCTCAGGTTTTTGATGGGCATGGAGGAAAGCATGCAGCTGACTTCGCATGCAGCCATTTGCCGAGATTCATAATTGAGGATGAAGACTTCCCAAAGGAAGTTGAGAGGGCTGTTACATCAGCGTTTCTATAAACAGACATTGCTTTTATAGAAGCTTGCTCATTAAATGTATTACCCATCATGTGCCTTATTTTTCTAACTACTGCTTCATGTACTTGTCAAAATGACATGAAGAAACATTATGAAAGGCTTATTCGCTTACGAATTGAATCAAATCAATGAACATCCATACATAATCAATGTCCACGATATATATACAGCAACAACTAACCCAATAATGGAAAAGAAACAAACAAATAAAACAAGGCCCTATCAATCCATATTTTTGACGATGATTAACTCACTGACCTCTCCGTATACAGGAATCTAACTAAACTAAACCAGTTCCATGCCTTCCTAAAAAAATATCATAAAACGTGAGAACGTTCAAAAAGACCCAAAAAATAATTAATTAATTTGTTTGTTTTTTTCAGTAATAAATTGAATTTCATTAATTTTTAATGTAAAAAAACAAACATTATAAGACTGTATTATTAATACTGTTTTGATTAGCTAAGTCAAAATAATATGAAATTATATTTATGGAAGATGATCAGAGGAGGCTTTCAAAACAGAGTTTGGAGTGCATCTGCTAGTGCTGCTGCAGAGCTATCCCTGCTAGTTGTTGCTGCTGCCAGTTGCTGCTGTTGATTTTTGGTGGTGCAGAGTTGTTTTCGGCGCTGATTTTGGTGCTGTTAATTGCTGTTTTGGGTGCTGATTTTGGTGTTGTTTGATATGTTTATTGATGTTTTTTTTTTTTTTTTGTCTTGACTTTGGTTGGTTGCTCGTCAACCGTGGATAACATGTTACCAAGGAATTGGATGGACATATTAGTGTCAGCTTATTTGGGATGATTTAAGTAAGTGTACTTTTTAAATTTTTATGAAATATGAGTTGGGTTTGAAGTGATGTGACGGAGAGATGATGTGACTTAAATAAAATGATATGACTTAAATAAGGTAGTGACTTTTTGACTTTTTTAGTATATGTCAAACAAGGCCTTAATTGGGATTGATATGTGTCGCTATGATATTTGTTACACTATTTCTTTTTCTTTCTTAATGAATGAGTTTTTTGTTCATCAATAAAAAAATTTATTTTACCGATAAAAAAAATAAAGAGAGGTTGGTGGTGAGTGACTTGTCTTACGAACTTTATAAATAAGTCCCATATTATTATTGGGCTCAAAGTAGGTGGTCTTGCAAGTGTTTCCTTAAATTACCAAAATATTTTGATAAATGAGTAATAGTGTTTACAATTATTAAAATTAGTTACTAGCACTTACAGGCACTGTGGAATTGACAACAAAGAAGCGCATAAGCTTTCCCCATAATTTGAATTCATCCATTATGTCTGATGCCGTTCATTGTAGTTTATTATAAATTGTAGACTCATAATTTAAAAATGGGAGATTTAATTAAAATTTTTCTATTGAACTTTTATTTGGTAAAAATGACAGTTTAATTTATTTTGCTTCATAAAATCTCTAAGGAAGAGGCGCATAATTGAGTAATGACAAAATAAAATATATTTTTTTAAGAAAAATTTTTATACTTATCTTTAATGAGTTAAAATTTTATTATGAGAAGGCTTTGACCAAATCCCCTTTTAAAAATAGAAATAAAAAACACTTATCACTTCACTTTAAAAAATGAACTTTTTTCAATTTGTTTAAGCTATTTTGACTTAATAAGTTATAAATAGAAATTACATTAAATAGTTGGACACAAACTCCAAAATAAAAAAATATATAAAAAAAAGGTATAAGCAACAAATATGGCCACACTAATAGATCATAATAGTTTAGAATTAATTTTTATCAAGTTTTATTAAAAATAAGTCCTAATAACATCGTCGCTAAAAATAATTTTTTTGAAATAATTTTTTGCATATGTTACTAAAAATTGATAATTGTGATAGTTTAATTTATTTTGCTTCATAAAGTCTCTAAGGAGGAGGCGCATAATTGAGTAATGACAAAGTAAAATATATTTTTTTAAGAAAACTTTTTGTACTTATCTTTAATGAATTAAAATTTTATTATGAGGAGACTTTGACCAAATCCCCCTTAAAAAATAGAAATAAAAAGCACTTATCACTTAACTTTTAAAAATGAACTTTTTTCAATTCATTTAAACTATTTTGACTTAATAAGTTACAAATAGAAATTACATTAAATAGTTGGACACAAACTCCAAAATAAAAAAATAAAAAAAAATTATAAACAACAAATATGGTTACACTACCAATAAATCCTAATAGTTTCGAATTAATTTTTATCAAATCCTATTGAAAATAAGTCCTAATAATATCGTCGCTAAAAATAATTTTTTTTGACAAATTTTTGCATATGTTGCTAAAAATTGATAATTAGTAACATTTTTTTTCACGATTTTTATAAATTGTCGCTAAAATTTAAAATTAATGACTTTTTTATGACAAATTTTTAGAACTGTCACTAAAAATTAAAAATTAGTGACTTTTTTGGTATGATTTTTTTAAACCGTCATTAAAACTTATAATTAATGACATTTTTTCTAACAATTTTTAAATTGTTGTTTAAAATTAATAATTTGTGTCTTTTTAACAGTATTTGATGAAAAATACCATTAATTATCATAAAATCTATTTGATAATAAATTCACCTATTAGGACCTACACGTAAGCCTCCTTTCAAATAAAGTGTACTAAATAGTGTCAATATATAAATGCTACAAAATATTTCCATCTCAAATGGCTCCATAAGCTAAAAGAAAATTTTAAATTCTACCTCCTCATTTGGCAAGTAGGTTGAGTTTAAGTTAGGACTAAAAAAATACAAAAAAATAAAATAGGTTAAATAAGTCAATAAAATAAAATGTCACATTCATATCATAATTATTTTTATTTTTTCTCTGAAAAAAAAAGCAAAAAAGTCAAAATAGTGAAAAAGTTCTTCCTAAACGAAACCAATTTAGCAACCAAAAAAAAAAAAAAAGACAAAATTCTTTAGTTTTGTTTTGTTTTTGCTTTTGCATTTGCTTTTTGCTTTTGCATCTGATCATGAAGTCCACAAAAGTTTTAAGAGAAGTATTTCAACAAAATTTTGGGACAGTTTGGTGCAGTTGTGAGCAAGTGATTATATATTATAACTTAATAGATTATAAATCATAATTTTAAACAAAAGTTGTTAGCTTGTTTGATGCAACTATGAGATTATGGATTTAAGTAGCAGACTAGTGTTTGGTTGAATAAATTGTAAAATAACTTGTTGCTGTGTAATTGTCATTTTTTCCCTTATAAGATGTAAAACTTATAATTTTTTTTTTTCTTTTCTTCAATTTTAAATTTTGCAAAGTTCTTTTATAAACAAAAGTTAATAATTAGTACCTATATTGGTACATTTCATTACAATTCCATTTCAACGGGTTTTCTATTTTTTGGTACAAAGAAAAAAAAAAGGGAAGAAGAAGAAGAAGAAGAAGGGATAATAAAGGGACTAGGCCCTAGCAAAAGGTGCATCAACTATCAACAATGAGCAATTTTCCTAGTTTGCTCTACAATTGGTAGAACAAATCTCTATGCATTCGAAAATTTTCATAACATCTTTTTCGATTTCCCTCTTATAATTCTACCATCCATTGTCACCCTGGAAGAATTTGCCCTTGTTCTTCTTATTTTGGGACTGTGATTCTACTTGGGTACTCATTCTATCAAGAAAAATAATATTCAAGTTAATAGACATATCATTGATTGGATAAAAATATAAGATTTGTACAAAATTTGATAAATTTAAGAAAATTAAAATCACTTGTTGAAAAGTAATCAAACAGGGACTTCTACGTAAATATTGGTTAAGTAACCTTGATTGTTTTAATAGTAGTATATCACTCAATTGATAAATTTAAATTTAAATTTTGTTTGGTTAAAAATTTACGCTCTAAAATATTCTGCCCATAAAAACATGTCCAAACAAAATGACTAAAATACACACGTACATATATAGTACCACGTATTTTTATTTTATTTTTTCTAAACCCGCATCTCTCTCTCTACCTCTTTCTCTCCGTCTTCTCTCTCTTTCTCCTCTCGCAAAACCCTAACAGCGCCACCAACTTGAAGAAGTCAAGAGACACGAAAGCAGAAGAAGAAAAATAAGGATGCGGCAATGGCGACAATGAAGAACGGCAACAACAGTGGTTGCGATCTCTCTAGAATTGCCAATCTATATGGTGTAATCTAATACAAAGTTCCTCTGTTACAAGCCATTGAAGAAGCATCTCAAGCACATCCTTTCGACTGCCGATGACGCTTCCTCCACCACCGCAGACCCCCATCTTCAGTCGGTTTTGCCTTTGGCCGAGCTATAGGACTAGTTCATGAGATCTCAATAATAAAAAAGCTGAAGCATCCCAACATCGTCGTGATTAAGATCTACTCTGCCATTGAGACTAAGATCTACTTTTACCTCGCCAGTGACAATGCCATGCCATGGTTCTAGGGTTTGAAGAAATCGGCTAGAGAGGCCGCTGATCGCTACTCTCTCTTTCTCTCTCTCTACATACACACACACACACACATATACATATATAGCTCATGAAATGTATGTACGTATATTCATGAGCTATATATATATGTGTGTGTATGTGTGTGTATACTTGGACCATCCAAGATCTGAGGGTTTCATTCAACAAAATTTGTTTATTATTATTATTATTATTATTATTATTATTATTATTATTATTATTTGATGTTGTTGTTGTTAATGATGATGATGATGATGATGATGATAAACAGATAGGATTTTTTTTCTTTTCTTTTTTTTCTGGCTTAGATCTATTTTTTATTGTTTAATTCTTTTTTTTCTTCGCTTAGATCTGGGTGAATGAGTGAATATATCAAATATTGAACAAGGGGTTTTTTATCGTATCAAAATTTTAGATCCAAACATTTTTTTTTTTTTTTTGCGGTTGTTGTTGTTGTTGTTAATGAAACAGATAAAGTTTTTGTTTTTGTTTTTGTTTTTGTTTTTATTTTAATTTTTGTGTTGAATA